TCCGGCTCTGGAGTCCGAGATGCACTTGCCTCTCGACATCGGCGGTGGGTGGAAAGAACTGGGCAACGAACAGGAGCACTGCGACCGCGATCTGGCTGAAAGCTTTCAGAGAGAGCGCGAGCCCAGCGATTTGATGAATCGACGACGCTCTCCGAACTTCAAAATAAGGCCAGCCCGTGTATCTTCTTGTGCCTTGATGCCACACTGAACCCCAGGGTAGCGAGCACTCGACTCCATCCCCAATTGGGGAACACGGATACGAACGTCTCGAAACGTTTGAATCTCGGTCTGTCGGTCGAAATCGCGATAGCATAGGATGATGTTTTTCTTGAGTTTCGGGGCCAGTCCAGCAGCGTATGCAACGAGGAGGAAGACGCGCATGAAAATGGGCACCAGCTCATAAATGTTGAAGCTGGCCGACCCTACGTCGTTGGCGAACGCACAGTGCAAATGGGCAGGGCGCGGCAGCCTCAAGCACAGCAGCCGAATAATAAGGTCCACCCCAAGAGCGAATACCGAGCCAGATGGAGGACGCCCTTGCTTCATACCCCTCGAGATTGCGAGCGCGCAGTGAGCATGTCCTCCGAGGGCGACAGCAGTGCGCATACAGGTATAGAAAGACTTGATGGCATGAATCACGAAAGAAGGAAGCTGCATCTCATTCAAAACGTGGAAGATCCACTCGTGGCAGAGACCACGGAACGCGGTTTCAATGTCTGACAGGATGGCGCCAGCTGTGCCCCTCCATTGGATCCCTGGCCGACGACCATGTGAGCCTCGAACTCGATCAGGTTATCCATCATGTGTCGCCCCTTTAACGGAGGCCCTCTGGGCCCCGAGGGTGGCGTCCACGCAGAGCATCATCAGGGGCAGTTAATCGCGACGGCGACGATCTTATTCAGGGAGCTCGAGAGGGCAATCGGCCTGGTGGTCTCAGGGGTCATCCAGAGCTCAGGCCCGCCCCGATCCATCGAGCCCTCGGGGGGGAACGCGGAGTTGCTGACGTTGGGGACCTGACCAAAATCCGTCACGTGCTCGCGCATACGAAAAGCGGCCCGACGGACAAGCCGCCCCCCTTGGTCCACGCGGAGTAGCAGAGCCCATCAGGGCCCACAGCAGAGCCCCGAAGCTGGCCCAGGACCCGGTTAACATTCCCCCCCGTCATCCTCGTCCGAACCCGCCGATCAGGGGGACGCTGAATATGACCTGGGAGCTGGTCGCGAGCGGCAGGCTGAGAAGAGACAGCGGCATGGCCGCCCCAGTCGGCAGCAAGTGCACGAGCCCCAGCACCTGCAGGCTGCATTGCATTGCCTTCGGCATCCGTGAGCGCAGCGAGAAATACTCTGCGATTCTTAGGGGGCCACGGGGAGACCATGCGCTGAAGACGCGTTGCACAATGCTCGATCTATTGTGGAGAGGCTTCGGTGTGACCTATGATCGAATCGTATTCGGATTGATGTCGTGCGGCTCCAATCTGAGACATGCATTTGTGAAACGCTCGCTGGTCGCGCCCTTCGCATGCAACGGGGCCGAGCACATCGATGAGACGAGGGATGGCCTTCACGGCCTTTACCAAAATGCGAAAGGTACGCGGGCACATGGCGCGGTTGACTGCGAACACCCACTGCACGTGCTGCGGAGGCGAGTCAGGCGGCAACTCGGATAACCTTTGCTGGGCAATGCGCCCAGCTTCGTGCATCAAACAGGTGAACTCTTGGACCTTCAACGGGACATGCGTCTCGCACACGCAATGTTCACCAATCAGCTTGTCGAGTGCGATAAGGTGTGGCGGATGCTGTGAGACCCGCGAAGGGCGCACGATAGGGTGTACCGGATGCTCTGAGACCCGCGATGGCACCCTGGACCCCCCCCCCCACGCACGCCGTTGAGATGCAGATAAACAGGGGCATGATCACAAGATAGGTCGGCCTTGCAGATCTTCAAAGCGTTTCCAGAAGTCGGTTTCAAGTCCAAGAGAACACCTGCGAATGAGTTGGTATATGTCCAATCGAGCCTGGAAACACTGACAACTTGCCCGTCTCTGGCGGCGTGGCGGGCCCGGTCTCCCGGGCGCGTCTGGCGATGCGAAGCGTGAGGGCCCAGGGCCTGGGGGCCAGATAGTCGGGTGAGTTCTGATTGTCTCGTCGGCCCTCTGGGCCCCCCCCCCCCTGAAGCTCGCCGTCGTCAACATCGCAGAGAAAGAAAAAAAAAAAAAACAAAAAAAACTGGACCGCAGTGGGGAAGTCGGCGCGCTGAGCCAGCGCGCATTCTGGCGCTGGCGGAGGGTAGGATCGAGACGCAAGTTGAGAATGGTGAGCTGGAACGAACCGGACTTCGAAGTTAGAACGACGAGGCGGCCAGGAATGAAAGCGCGATGGGGGGGGGGGGGGGGTCGGCAACGAGCGTAGACGGCGGAGACTTTATCGCCAGGATTGCTGCGCCCCCAGCCTTCACCTCGGAACAGAACGGCCAATGCGCCTCGAAGGGCGGGAACTCGGCGCGCAACGATTCGCTGACACCATCATTCCCGTGGGTTTCGTGGAGACAAACAAAGTTGCCATTTCTTGAAAGTTGAGAAAGACGGCCCCAGGTCTTCCGCTGAACATCACGATCACCAGAAACGGCCCCGAACAGCGCATAGCAGTTCCACGTGGCAAATTTCGTTCCACGTCCGTGGGGTAGGGCGGAGGGAAAGACAGCGGGGGCCCACTAGGGCCCTGTGGTGGAGGCTGCTGGCCCCTAGACGAATTAACGCGGGCGAAGGGCGATTGGGGCCGAGACAGCAGGGGGAAACTGCGAGACAGCAGAGAGATGGCGGCAGCTGCCAACCAGAACTAGGGGAGCGGCATCTCAGTGGGCGGCGGCCTGGGCGGCACCCTGGGCGGACTCAACCATCGAATTGGCGGTGGCGGCGGAGATGCACCGCTCATCAAGCTGGGACTGAAGCGGCTCGGTCCCGAACTGGCCAGCTGCGGCTGCGCGGAGCCAGAATAGCTCCCACCGGTCGTCCGCCGTGGTGATGCCGAAAGCTCCCTTGAACGGGTTGGCAACGAGCTTCACGTCGCCTTCCACAGCTTCTCGTTTTCCAAGTGCTTGCGAACCAGCGGCCGCAACGCGCTGAGGATTCGGTTCTTCTGGCGGGCGGCCAACGGCATGTCACGCCGTATATGAAGTGCGTGCACAACTCGATTGCGATAGTCGGACCAGTTAACCAGATCGGCGAGGAACCAGGCGTGGAGCTCTCTGGCATGGGCCTCGCTCTCCAAGGTGACTGGGCAAGCTTGTGATACTGTGTGAAAATGACCAACCATGTTGGCGCTCAGGTGGAACGGGGTCCTATCTTTCAGCTGCTGGAGCACGATGCAACGATGTGGCTCGGTAACAGGTCGAGGGGAAGCCGCAATCCATCGCCGTGTCTCGTTGATATCATCACGGGAAAGGTCGATGACTGGAACTTCAAGCGAACCAGCGGAGGATGCAGCAGACGTTCTCGTTGATTTGGCGGAGGGGGGCCCTGTAGAACTGGCAACGGATGGTGGACGAGAGATCTCGCGCAGCGACTTCTCCAGACCGAGGATATTATCCTGCAGCTGCTTGGCGAGGGAGGACGGCGTGGCTGTACCATCACCTTCTCCATCGGCTTGGAACATCTGGGCCACGAACTTGTCCTGCTCAATCTTAGAGATGCGGAGGTCGAAGGCGCTCGCCATCTCCTTCTGACTGGCGCTGGCCTCCGCGAAGCCCGCCTGCATGGACATCTGGAGGTCGATGCTCTTCTCGTCGAGCACATCAGCGACAATGAGGCGCTTCTTGACATCGGAAGCGTCGGCCCTCATCCCCTTCATCTCGCTGGTGCGTGTCTCGAGCACGGTCATCAGCTGCTCGCTGGAGACGGCGGCCATGGCTCAGACTTCTCCTGTGGCAAAATGCTCACCGCGCCCCACGCGGTGTCGAAAGAAAAAGAAGAAGACAGACTCTCAGCCGCTGGGCAACTCACTGAGGGGATCGTGCGTGTGAAAACCTTTGGTCTAGCCGGCCTCGGACTTGAGATATCCACGGATTTCCCTTGGGAGCCAGGCATCTTGAGCCAAAATGGCTACGGAAGGGAAAGAGGGGAGGAGGAGGAGGAAGAGGGTCCATGTTTTCCCCTCAACGGCTTGTCTGTGAGAAGCTCTATGTGCGCTTGAAAGTCTAATGAGTGGATTGCCGGATCCGGAATCGGTGGGGCGACGCGGCCTCTCGTTGTCTTCCGTTGTCTCCCGTTGTCTCCCGCTGTCTTTCACTGGCTCCCGTTGTCGCCTACTGTCCAGCCGCATCCCCATTTGCATCCGTATCAGTATCCCCTATCCCCATCCCCGCCCCTCTATCGCTGTCCCCATTTCTACCCCTTCCCGTTTTTTACTCCTGCCCTCCTCATGTATCCCTGCATCCTGTCCCTACTTCGACCCTGTCCCTATTCCCTCCCTCGTGGCACCCATCACAACTGTGCAAGGCTGTACGGGGCCTTCTGCCGCAAGGGATGCCATGCTTTTTCTGGTCCGCCTGGGCCTCCAGAGACTGGGGATGCCCCCCTCCCCCTCCTTGCGGACCTACTCCTCGCCGTTCTCCTCCTTCTGCTCCTTCCTCCTGTCTGCCTCCTCGCCCCCTCGTTGCTGCCTCATTTCCCCCCCCCCTCCCCTCCTCATCCCTGCCGGGAGGCCCCCATCTCCCTCCTCGCGGTCCTCGTCCGCACCGTCCTCCTCCTCCTCCTGCTCTTTCCTCCTGTCTGCCTCCTCCTCTCATCCGCTGATCGCCTGCACCATTCTCCCTCTCCCGGCTGGAAGTCCCGGGAGGAATGGGGCGCGCCCTCGGCAACCGCCTGGTCTACCCGGGGGGCTTGGGCAACTGCCTGGGCGACTCCTGCTCCTCTCCGAGCACTCCCCGCCAGGGCAATGCTCGAAGGGGTTTCTCCGCCAGCTCCTCCCAGCTCCCAGCCCTGCTGGCTTCCTCTCGCCCGGCGCCTGCAGTTTCAGCTCGGCCTCCGCGGCGGCCCTCTTGTCTTCGGCCTCGGTCGCCGCGGCCAGCTCCTCCTCCAAGGCGGCGGGAGGCTAGGGAGGCTGAGCCAGGAGAACGCCATGATACCCCTCGCACGTAGCTGCGGACAAAGTGCGTGCCAGTTACCCCGCCAGCGTGGTGCGCACAGGAGCAGCTCGAATCTCGAGATGGTCAGCGCGTATATGGAGTTAGGCGGGCCCGATGGGCGCGTCCTTGAAGTACGGTCTGAAAGCGAGAGCCAGTAGGGAAACGCAGCACTCCCTACATCCTGTAGAGGTCTCCCCAGTGTAGCCCGTCTTAACCCCCCAGCCAATTCGCACGAGAGAGGAGACGGGGAGGACAGAGAGGGGGAAACGCGAGGAGGTGCAGCAGACGGGGGCAGCAGGGGCAGCGGACGATCGAAGGGGGAGCCCCTTCGCACTGGAAATCGCACCCCCGCTTGGCCTAGAATGGTGATCATGATGCGGACGAGGAAGAAAGCGAAAGGGCGGGGGATAGATGGATGGATGGATGGATGGATGGATGGATGGATGGATGGATGGATGGATGGATGGATAGATAGATAGAGATGGATGGATGGATGGATGGATGGATGGATGGATGGATGGATGGATGGATGGATGGATGGATGGATGATGATGATGATGATGATGATGATGATGATGATGCTGATGACGACGAGGACGATGACGATGACAATGACGATGACGATGATGATGACGATGATGGTGAGAATGATGATGATGATGATGATGATGATGATGATGATGAGTATGATGAGTATGATGAGTATGAGTATGAGTATGAGTATGATGATGATGATGATGATGATGATGATGATGATGATGATGATGATGATGATGATAAGTATGATGAGTATGATGAGTATGATGATGATGATGATGATGATGATGATGATGATGATGATGATGATGATGATGATGATGATGATGATGATGATGATACTGATGCTGATGCTGATGCTGATGCTGCTGCTGATGATGATGATGCTGCTGATGGTGATGATAGTGATGATGTGTGATGGTGATGGGATGCCGGAACCTCCGAATCTGAATGCAGGATGGGTGATCCGCTCAGAAGGCGGTTCCCGATGAGAGCCGCGTTCGGCCGGGGCGACGGAAGGGGGGGGCCCCCGGAGGCCAAGAAGCCCGCAGGCGAGGACTGTCGGAAGGATGAGAAAGGGGCGACGACAACAAAAAGGCCTTACGGGAGATGATCTGGCGATCATGCGCGGCGTTTCACGCGGGCCGCCTGCGCGGCACGCCACACCGGAAGCGAGGGCGCTCCCGCGCGACCTTGCGGTTGGAGCCTAGGCGCGAATGTCGGGGCAACCGAACCCGTTGCTCTTGCGTGGCTCGAATGAGGGCTGAGGACTAGGGCTGACACGAGCATCATTTGCGAACATGTGTTGCTTAGCTGCTTGCGAGGCGCTCGTTTTGAGCGTCTCGTCTTCCCCTCGACCGCGCGGCCGTGGACAAGGCCCTTAGGGGCCGTGGGGTTCGCGAACAGACAGTTCAGAATCGTTGATGAGCAATCTGCGAACATCCGAACCGTGAACCTGATTTTCGCTCCTCCGAACACATTGTAGGGCACGCCTAAATGGGGGGACTGAGGAGGGGGCGCGTGAGGGGTGAGTGGGGCGCGCACGGGGGAAGCGTCGCTTCGCCCAAGTCGCGGCGCCTGGGGCGTGACAAACAACTGCATGGCCAACGCCGACCCAAGGAATCCGCTCGGACCTCCGAACATTGATGCTTATGTTCGCTTCGAGCAGGAATCAGGGGACGGACATGGTGTGGGAGGAGGAGGAGGAAGAGGAGGAGGAGGAGAAGCAACGAGAGATGGAGGGCCACGACCCGTCTGGAGCCTCTGTGGCTTGGCGGCGTGCACTAGGGAGGTAGCGCGAGGGGGGCGCCTTCTGAGGTCTACGACCGAAAGGGTGGCAATGGGGGGCGACCTGAATGGGGGGTGAAGCAAAACAAGGCCCTAAATGAGGCCCTTCAGGGCCCCGGTGGGGGCCCTGCTGGCTCCCAAAGGTGGTCTCAAAAGGCCCCCATTCAGTGTACCACATGGTGTGAAGGCTGATTTGATCCAATCTCGTCGTCTTCTACCATCTTCAACTTGGCGCCGGCGTTTGGCCGTGCTCTCTCTCTCTCTCTCCTGTCGCTCCTCTACACAGCGTTTGGCTGTTCGTTTGCTTTGCCTACGCGTCCACTCGGATGCACGGCTGCTGTACTGTACTGTACAGTGAGGTCACCCCCCACTACCACCCGCCTGAGAGGCAGGGGGCCTCTCAGAAGCCCTCCCTAAGGGGCCACATGCGGTCCCTACCCCTACCCCCCACGATTTTTGAGGGGGAGGGTGGGGTTCACTTCGCTCGTGACCTCCCGAACGAAGTGAACCCCACCCTCCGCCTCAGAAATCGTGGGGGGTAGGGGTAGGGACCGCACGTGGCCCCCTACGGCAGGTTCGTGTCGTGTCGACCCCGGCGTTGGTTTTTGACACCGCAGGGATCGTTCAACCTTGAACGATCGGCCGCTGCCGCAACGTCCGATCTTTCAACATCGATCGATTCTGGGTCGCCGGCGGCGTTCAACCTTGAACGCCCGCGCTGGGGTCGCCGCTGGTCGACACGACGCAAACCTACCGTACTCCCGACCTCTGGGAGACCGTCTCTGAAGCCTCCCGGCCCTCCTCGGACGGCCGCCGCTCTCGAGGAACCGCCCCCTCCTCCTCGGGAGGCCGCCCCCTCTAGGGAGGCAGGATTTGTCCGTCCCCAGTATCTGAGCATCATGTGGAGGTCGTTTTTCATTTATTTTCTGGCAGTATAGCTGCGAATACATGTCAGCGCAGGCGGGATGGGCGGGATCGCAGCAGCGCTCCCCCACCTCCGCAGCCATGTGCCTCATAGGCCCCACAGAGGGCCGTGCCAGCAGCACGCTGCGAACCGTACGCCAGCGTTGAGTCTAGGAACAAATCATTGGGCCCGCACCAAAGGACACCCCAGCGAGAGGAAAGATCACTCTTCCGCGTGTCCGAAGAGCGGGACCCCGCGCGCGGCGCGCCAGCCGGCGCGGCGCCGCGCTTCCTCCAGCTGCGGCCACTCCATGGCGAGCTGGGCGGCATCGGGGACGGTGGCGCACTCGCCGCCCGAGTCCTGCAGGGGGAACGATACGACGGATGCACTCAGTCGAAACGTAGACAGCACATGCCCCTTCGCTGAAGGCCCACGAAACACTGGGGATGCCCCGAGCGAGGCCCATCCGAAGGTGGAGGGCCCGACCACGAAAAACGCAAGGGTGCCCCTGCAAAGCTGGAGTTTCTCTTGACCCTTCTGCCAGCTGCGCAATGACAGTCGCCGATCTCCCAGGGTCCTGAGCTGCCCCAGCGTTTCTGGGGGCCCCCGAGGCCATCGGAGGATGAGCAATTTCCGTGGGGCACCTGCTGGCAGGCCGAGCCCTTATTTGGTGCGCCTGCTGCAGGACTTGACTGGCTCGTGGGGGGAACGTCGATCCAGAACAGGCGATGCGTCGGCGGTGGGCTCCTGACAGCGACACGGCCCGCTCCTGGGGCAGGGTGGGGCTGCGAGGCCCCCCGATCACGAGTCCGCACAGTCCTCGGGTAGGGTGGGCCTCTCGGGCCCCCTCGGCGATGAGTGTAGAGGCAGAAAATGAGCACCCCGACAAGTTAAGCTCCTCCTCCTCCTGCTCCTGCTCCTCCTCCTCCTCCTCCTCCTCCTCCTCCTACCTCCTCCTCCTCTCCTCCTCCTCCTCCTCCTCCTCCTCCTCCTCCTCCTCCTCTACCTCCTCTACCCCCTCCTCTACCTCCTCCCCTCCTCCTCCTACTCCTCCTCCTCCTCCTCCTCCTCCTCCTCCTCCTCCTCTTCCTCCTCTCTTCCTCCTCCTCCTCCTAAGCCCAGGAGGAATCGAACCGGTCGGGGCTCTTCAGCAAACGCCCGGGGCCGCTCAGTAGACGCCAGTTGTCGGGGTCTGTTTTTTCCCCCCTTGGGAATAGGCGACTGGGGGTCGAGCCAAGCCGAGGGTGTGACGGCGCCCGGGGGGGACAGATAGATAGACAGAACTTGCGCAGACGCATCAGTGCGATGGCGCTCGGGGGGGTATACGTAGATAGGTGGATGCACCGCGCCAAGCAAGCAAAGCCGACGGTGCGACGGCGAACGCTCTTTGAAAATGGGCCAGAACGGAAATCAACCCCCTCATGGACGATGCGTTCCCCCTGAGGCCCATCCCCCCCCCGCCCTCCAGCGTGGCCCCTGGAGCCCGCGCCCCTCGTGCAGGGGGGACCCCCTCATGGTCGATGCGCTTCCCCCTCAGCGAATAGTCCGCAGAAGCCCCGGAGGAGGAGGAGGAAGAGGAGAAAGAGGAGGAAGAGGAGGAGGATGAGGATGAGGAGGAGGAGGAGGAGAGGAGGAGGAGGAGAGACGCGCTCCCTGAGGCGCGCCAAGTTCGTCCGCCAGCCAGGCGATCAGCCTAGCCTCCCTTCCTCAGTGTGTTAGAGCCCTCACTCCAGCACACCTCGTCGCCGACAGGCGCAGCCTACCCTCCAGGAAGTTGACCCCTCGAGGGTGAGAAAATAAATCACGAGCGCGTAAATTATTGAAACTAGTCAGCACTAGGTCAGCAGCGACAGCAGTGGCATGAAATTCGTCATTTCAAGAATACTCTCTAGAGTACATATCAAAGCACGCCCTAGGGTCACAATTACCCCACCAGTCAGGAAGAGAGGGGAGGAGACGCTCCACTACAGGAGTAACATGAGGCACGAAAAGTAATGTAGGATATCATCAGCACCACTACATCCGAAGCGACAGCCTTTGCACGCTTGACGATAACGACGAGAAATATTCATAGCATTGCACATACATCTGAGGATACTTAGACCAATGAAGCAGGGGTATTTGTGACCCAGCATGCACAAACTTAGAATAGCCACAGATATCTGGTCGGGCGTGATGTGCACGTTCCAGTACCTGAGACGGGCACCTATCTTCTCCTGCAGGGATTCAAACGGGAAGAGACCGTGGAAGATTTTTTTGAGCTCTCTCTCTGGAGCTTCGGACATTCGAGAACACCATCTTCCCACGGGCGATTCTGGATATTCCGAGGGAGACTCCAGACATACTTGTACAAATCAATCATCTGCTTCAGGGGGGAGTGTTGATACAACTTGTTGAACCTCCATCCCAAAATAAGGTCATCCCCCTCCAGTAGGAGAGGAGGAGGAGGAGGAGGAGGAGGAGGAGGAGGAGGAGGAGGAGGAGGAGGAGGAGGAGGAGGAGGAGGAGGAGGAAGTTGGAGGAGGAGGGGAGGAGGGAGGAGGAGGATCGGAGGAGGAGGAGGAGGAGGAGGAGGATCGAGGCGGGGGAGGAGGAGGATCCCCCCCCAGCGACGCCCCTGCAGTCCGCGCCCCACGCGCTCGGCTGGATGAGGCTCACGGCCTGCCTCAGCAAGCCGCTCTGGCCCTGCATGCGCGCCCACTCGTCCTCCCGGCGGCCGCGCTTGAGCAAGGGGAGCGTGCAGGAGGTCGTCGAGGAGGAGTAGGAGGTCGTCGTCGAGGAGGAGGAGGAGGAGGACGAGGAGGAGGTCGTCAAGGAGGAGGAGGAGGTCGTCGAGGAGGAGGATCGAGGAGGAGGAGGAGGAGGAGGAGGAGGATCGAGGAGGAGGAGGAGGAGGAGGAGGAGGAGGAGGAGGATGAGGGACCCGCTCCACCTCGTGAGAGCGTGAAGTCGGCCGTGGCCAAATCATGGAAGCCGAATAACGCCAACCCCCAAACCGACGAGGAGGAGGAGGAGGAGGAGGAGGAGGAGGAGGAACCAGGACTGCAAAAGAACCCTTATTGCCTTTGGAACGCAACAGCTGTACAGCTCATGCCCGCTCAACGTTAAAAAGGAAGGCTCAGGACTGAAATGGCGACGGCTGGTGCTCCCGACGAGGGCGGCCTGTGCTTCGCACAGGCGTCGAGAACACCCGCCCAGCCTCTCGGGCGGGCGGTAACGGGGGGCGACCCAAAGGGGGGGGAAGAAAAAAGGCCTCAAAGAGGCCCCTTGGGGCCCTTGCTGGCTCCAAAATGGGCCCTACAGGGCCTCTTCGGGGCCCCTTTCTTCACCCCGCAATTTGGGTCACTTTTATGAACCACCCGCCCGAAACCCGACAGGCAGAGCGCTTCTCAGAGGCCCTCCCGGCTTCCGGGAAACCTTCTCTGCAGCCTCCGGGCACTTCTCGGACGGCCGCTGCTCTTTAGGAGTCCCCCCTCCTCCTCAGGAAGCCGAGCCGCCATTTAGGTCACCCCCCGCCCGAGCTTCTCTAGGCAAGCGCGTTCCACTACTCGCAAAGTAACTACTCGCAGGTGGCGTGGATCCGCCTCCTGGGATATACGATAGAGAACATCGAGGGAAACATATGTTTTTGTTTCAGACATTTGCGAGTAGGCACTTTGCGAATATCGGAGCGGCCAAGAGGGGGGTGTCCAAGAGGGGGGGGTGCAAATCATGACCGGCGGCATGTGCGCGGCCCAGCGGGGGGGCCAGGGACGCAATGAAACAAGAAGAGGCGCAATGAAATCTGGGGAAATATCATGGCCCCCGCCATGATATCCCCCCCACGAGTCATCACCCCCTCTCTTCCGCCCCCGAGAATAGCAGCACGCGCTCGATGACTCTCGGGCCCTGCCCGCCAGGGGCCCCGCGGCAACCGCCCGCCAGGGGCACCGCGGCTCTGCGCAGCCGGCCGGTGCAGGCCGCGGGGGCTGCTCTCCGAGCCGGGCCCAGCCGGGGCGACGCGGGCCCGAGCGGCCGACGAAGAGCACTCGGCTACACGCAAGACTGACCCTGGGACAGTCCTCCTCCTCCTCCTCCTTCCTCCCTCCTCCTCCTCCTCCTCCTCCTCCTCCCTCCTCCTCCTCCTCCTCCTCCTCCCCTCCTCCTCTCCTCCTCCTCCTCTCCCCCTCCTCCTCCTCCTCCTCCTCCTCCTCCTCCTCCTCCTCCTCCTCCTCCTCCTCCTCCTCCCCCTCCTCTGGTGCGGCTTTCGGACAGCGCGAAGGGGACCAAATCCAAGCGTGCTGGCGTGTGCCAAGGGGACCCCTGGGAGCCCGTCACTCCGGGTCTCTCCGGCGAAGGATCACTCTAAACGTGCAGTCGAGCCAGAGCCCGCGACGGCAGGCCCAAAACAGAAGCCAGGCCCCCTCGTGGCGAGGAGCGACAACTGCAGCGCCTGTTGCGGCCCCCGTGGGCTCGGAGTGATTACTTCTTTGCAGATGCTCGCCGCGTCGCGGGCGTCTCGGCCCCGTCAGAGATGTCCGTGAGCTGCCAGATCACAGTCAACGCCTACTCTCTTTGCTTACCGTGCGCACCAACAATGCTGAGTTCCCGCATGAACTTCGTCAAGTGCCGCTCGACAGGAGGAGGAGGCGGTAGAAGAGGAGGAGGTCGAAGATGAGGAAGAGGATGTCGACGAGGAGGAGGAGGAGGAGGATTTGTTTGACATGAACTGCGAGGTGCAAACAAAGGGCGGACAGGCGGACCACCACCAGGCGATATCCTATTGCGGGAGGATCCCCAGCGTTGGTCGCGCCAGTCCACCTATCGCCACGGCTCGGGCTCCACCCACACGCCCTTGCGAATCGGGTGGACGCCCTTGCAGATCTGATTAAACGACCAGGTCTGCTTCGGCGTGGGATGGCCCCACACTCTTTAGCCAGTCCTCGAAAATAGCTAACGGTGGTGTACGAGTGGCACCTCAAGCAGGCTGCAATGAAGGTGCCATCCGAAACCAAAAAAGAAATAGCCTCATGTTTCAAGGCCCGCAGCGAGGGCCCGTCCAGCTTGGAGACATTATCACACTCTCCAGGCTGCGGAAACACCCCCAACGCTGTCTTAGAGACCAAGAATTGTTGACATCTCCAAAAACCAGGACGGCCTCCAATCATCTCGAAAGCCCAAGAATGCCCAGGCCCCTTGGGTTCCTTAGGAGCCTTAGGGGGGGGGCTATCCAAGGACACTCGGAGAGGTCGAGTCGCGGCCAGGAAGGGAGCACCTGGGCCGCTAGAGCACAGACCGCCTGGGAAACACGAGTTCGGAAATTCAGCTGCTGGACTCCTGCTTCAGACGGCTGCCTCGTCATTGCCCAAGCGGAGCCAACGCTCGCTCTCTGAAATCCCTGCCTCCAGAGGGTCGAGATGGGCCTTGACTTTACTCACGCCTTCCACCTACCGACTCCCCGTCCGAAACATCATCATCAGGCCAGCGAAAGGGCTTCCCATAGCTGCGCTGAACCTCGCTGGCTTTGCTGCTTAGAGAGACGACGTTCTCACAATCAGAATAAGAAGTACACGGGGCTCCAACCTCGAGACCACCGCGCGCAATTCCTGCAATCTCAATGTACTGGGAGGTCTGCGCGAACGAGGAGTAGACAGGACCAGCCAATCTGCTTACCCTGCGCCCGTCATCCGAAATCACGGCCAACCCATAGCCCGTTCTGGAGAGTTCGCTGATCGCGTGTCTCTGGCAACTGCCGTCGACAAAGATGCATGCTCCACTCAATGCGCTTCAAAGATCGGCGGAACCCGGATATTGACCCAGAGACCCCTCTCCAAGTTGGCTCTGGTTGGCTGAAGACAAGCTCCCGACCATCACGCAGCTGTGCCCACGACAATGAAAAGTGGTAGGACCCCGTCCGCAGGGCCAACACCTCCTTAGCGTAGCGTACTATGGGGGCCGTGGCCGCCAGCCACATAGGATTGCTGTGGATAATCATGCCAGATGTTAGCGAGCGACCACCAGCCCCTGGACGTAGAACCTCGCCTGCCTCCCGCCTGCGCCCCTGGGGACACAATCCCGTGTAAATTATACACTGCTCGCGCCCCCGAGGCCATAAACCCTTGCAGATCGTATTGTGCTCGCGCTCCCGAGACCACAATTCCCAGCGAATTGCACCATATTCGCGCCTCCGAGGCAGAACTCTTTAGTACATGACGCAATATCTGCGTTCCCGAAGCCACGATCCCTCGTACATTACACATTCTTCGCGTCCCCGAAATCATAAACCCTCGTAAAGTACGCAGCATTCGCACTTTCGAGGCCACAATCCTTCATAAAAGACCCCCAATACAGTACAAGAGGCCTCCGAGACGGCCCAAGAGTGCTCCGAGGCGCCCAAGGTGGTCCCAGACGGCCCAAGAGGCTCCCCCAAGAGCGCTCCAAGAGCACCCACAAGAGGGGCCCAAGAGGCCAACCTCTGCGATCTTCTTTGGGTGTTGCATGGATCTTGGCACGCTCATATCCCCGATGGCTCCCGTTCGGCGTTCCGGCTCTGCTTCACGACGGCGCCCAGGCCTCACAACATACAGTCAACCCGTATCAGAAGGTTTTTTTTTTATTAGGCAGCTTAGAGGACCGTTTCACGATGTTGGTTTCGCCAGTGTGCCGAAAAAAATCGACACTCAGCACTATTCGCAATCGCCTCGCTGTCACGCCCCAGAGCGTGATCCCAGATACGGGTAAAAAAAAGCCCGCCCCCCGACGGACTGAGAACGGCCGTATCAGAAGGACGCACGATAAGGATGCAGGGACCTTGGAGGGCCACTTCGAGGCCTCTCGAGCGGGGCGCGGCCAGCGAGACTCAGCGACAGCGGCCAAGGACAGGCCGAAGGGGCACAGATGCAAGGGCACCCTTGGGAAGGTTGCCCGTCCTTACTCGGCGGTGGACAAACCTCCCTTTAGTAAACCTCCCCTTAGTGAAAACGGCCTGGGACCGAAACCGACGCACCTGGACCCGCAAGAATGACGGCCGCGACGCCCCCTCGCGAACCGAAAACGGCCAATTCCTGAATCGACGCGTCAGGGTAGGAGGTCTATCCACCCCCGACTTACTATGCGGGTTGACCGTGCCCCATTATCCGAGAAATGGGGACCAGCGACGGGGGGCGAAGCCCTGACGGATGCCTGAAAAACGAGTTCCAGGAACCTCCAGGACCGGAAGCGCATGTGGTGCTCACTCGCCCTCCTCCTCCTCCTCCTCATCCTCCTCCTCCTCCTCCTCCTCCTCCTCCTCCTCCTCCTCCTCCTCCTCCTCCTCCTCCTCCTCCTCCTCCTCCTCCTCCTCCTCCCTCTCCTGGAAGATGAAACCTCTTGAGGTCCCTTCAGAGTCCCCCCACTCCCCCCTATCCTGCTTATGCTCCTTCCTCCTCCTCCTCCTCCTCCTCCTCCTCCTCCTCCTCTTAATTTTCCTCATTACCTAACAGCGAAGACTGATAGGTTTCTAGTGGGGTCAAAAGAAAGCATCTTGACGCCCCAGGGGGGTCTGGGAGGGATCCAGAAAAAACTGGACAAAACCGGCAGCCCCAGGAATCTTTAGGAATTCTTAGGAATGGTTGAAAATCCATTCCCAGAACACCACTCCCAAGCCACATTTTGAATGCCCGGAGCCAACTGTCGGCCACTTCGTGTTCTTCGTCGCCCCAGAACACCATTCCCAGGCCACATTTTGAATGCCCGGAGCCAACTGTAGGCCACTTCGTGTTCTTCGTGTTCCCAGAACACCACTCCCAAGCCACATTTTGAATGCCCGGGGCCAACTGTTGCCCACTTCGCGTCCTTCGTGTTCCCAGAACACCATTCCCAAGCCACATTTTGAATGCCCGGAGCCAACTGTAGGCCACTTCGTGTTCTTCGTCGTCCCAGAACACCATTCCCAGGCCACATTTTGAATGCCCGGAGCCACCTGTAGGCCACCACGTGTTCTTCGTGTTCCCAGAACACCATTCCTGTACCATATTTTGATCGCCCGGAGCCAACTGTAGGCCACTTCGTGATCGTCGTGTTCCCAGAACACGAGTTCTGTGTCATATTTTGAATGCCCGAGCTGAGGCAGGCTGAGGCTGAGGCAGGCTGAGGCCGAGGCTGAGGCTGAGGCTGAGGCTGAGGCACGCCGAGGCAGGCTGAGGCTGAGGCTGAGGCAGGCTGAGGCTGAGGCAGGCTGAGGCCGAGGCTGACGCAGGCTGAGGCCGAGGCAGGCTGAGGCTGAGGCTGAGGCAGGCTGAGGCTGAGGCAGGCTGAGACTGAGGCCGAGGCAGGCTGAGGCTGAGGCTGAGGCTGATGCAGGCAGGCTGAGAGCTGACGCTGAGGCTGAGGCAGGCTGAGGCTGAGGCTGAGGCCGAGGCAGGCTGAGGCCGAGGCTGACGCAGGCTGAGGCTGAGGCTGAAGCTGAGGCTGAGGCTGAGGCAGGCTGAGGCTGAGGCTGTGGCTGAGGCTGAGGCAAGCTGCGGCTGAGGCAGGCTGAGGCTGAGGCTGATGCAGGCTGAGGCTGAGGCAGGCTGAGGCTGAGGCTGAGGCAGGCTGAGGCTGAGGCTGAGAGGCAGGCTGAGGCTGAGGCCGAGGCAAGGAGGCAGGCTGAGGCTGAGGCTGATGGAGGCAGGCTGAGGCTGAGACAGGCTGAGGCAGGCTGAGGCCGAGGCAGGCTCAGGCCGAGACAGGCTGAGGCTGAGACTGAGGCTGAGGCTGAGGATGAGGCCGAGGCAGGCCGAAGCTGAGACAAGGTGAGGCTGAATGGGGGGGGGGAAGGGGGGGAGGAGGGGAGGCTGAGGCAGGCTGAGGCCGAGGCAGGCTGAGGCCGAGGCAGGCTGAGGCCGAGGCAGGCTGAGGCTGAGGCTGAGGCAAGCCGAGGCAGGCTGAGGCTGAGGCTGAGGCTGAGGCTGAGGCAGGCTGAGGCTGAGGCAGGCTGAGGCTGAGGCAGACGCAGGCTGAGGCCGAGGCAGGCTGAGGCTGAGGCCGAGGCAGGCTGAGGCTGAGGCCGAGGCAGGCTGAGGCTGAGGCTGAGGCAAGCCGAGGCAGGCTGAGGCTGAGGCTGAAACTGAGGCAGGCTGAGGCATCCGTAGGAGTCCATCGGAATCCTCAGGAATCCCTAGGAATCCTTGGGAATCCGTAGGCATCCTCAGGAATCCGTAGGCATAGTTAAGCACCCTCAGGAATCCTTAGGAATCCTTTGGATTCTTAGGAATCCTTAGGATTTCCTACGAATCCGTAGGAATCCCCAGGAATCCCTAGGAATCAGGAGTCCTAAGGTTTCCTAAGGTTTCCTAAGGATTCCTATGGATGCCTAAGGATGCCTTATGAATCCCTAGGAATCCTTAGGTTTCCATTGGATCCTAAGGCCGTTGCCACTGTGACTGTCATTGCGAATGCGACTGCGACTGCGAGAACAGCATAATTCTACAACTGGGTTATCACCCGAATCTTAAGGGGAATGCTTCCAGATATGCTTATACACATCGCTGTTAGGTTGCTTTGCCGGGATAAGTATCCTCCTTCCCCATCCTCCATCCTCCCTTTACTCCTCCTCCTCCTCCTCCTCCTCCTCCTCCTGCTCCTCCTCCTCCAACTGCCTCCTTATCATCCTCATCTGCTTCTTTTTACTTAACAGCGAAGACTGATAGGTTTCTAGTAGGGTTAAAAAAAGCCTCATGACTCCCCAAGGGGGGTCTGGGCGGGATCCGGACAAACCGGCAAAAACTGGCGGCCCCAGGAATCCTTAGGAATCCTTGCAAATTCTTAGGGATCCTTAGGAATCCATTCCCAGAACACCACTCCCAAGCCACATTTTGAATGCCCGGAGCCAACTGTCGGCCACTTCGCGTCCTTCGTGCTCCCAGAACACCATTCCCAAGCCACATTTTGAATGCCCGGAGCCAACTGTAGGCCACTTCGTGTTCTTCGTCGCCCCAAAACACCATTCCCAGGCCACATTTTGAATGCCCGGAGCCAACTGTAGGCCACTTCGTGTTCTTCGTGTTCCCAGAACATCATTCCTGTACCATATTTTGATTGCCTGGAGCCAACTGTAAGCCACTTCGTGATCTTCGTGTTCCCAGAACACCATTCCTGAACCATATTTTGATTGCCCGGGGCCAACTATGGGGCACTTCGTGATCGTCGTGTTCCCAGAACACCAGTCCTGTACCATATTTGGAATGCCCGAGCTGAGGCAGGCTGAGGCCGAAGCAGGCTAAATCCGAGGCAGGCTGAGGCTGAGGCTGAGGCACGCCGAGGCAGGCTGAGGCTGAGGCTGAGGCAAGCTGAGGCTGAGGCAGGCTGAGGCTGAGGCTGGCGCAGGCTGAGGCCGAGGCAGGCTGAGGCTGAGGCTGAGGCAGGCTGAGGCCGAGGCAGGCTGAGACTGAGGCTGAGGCAGGCTGAGGCTGAGGCTGAGGCTGATGCAGGCTGAGGCTGAGAGGCTGACGCTGAGGCTGAGGCAGGCTGAGGCTGAGGCCAAGGCAGGCTGAGGATGAGGCTGAGGCAGGCTGAGGCTGAGGCTGAAGCAGGCTGAGGCTGAGGCTGAGGCTGAGGCTGAGGCTGAGGCAGGCAGGCTGAGGCTGAGGCTGAGGCCGAGGCAGGCTGAGGCTGAGGCCGAGGCAAGCCGAGGCAGGCTGAGGCTGAGGCTGAGGCTGATGCTGAGGCAGGCTGAGGCTGAGACAGGCTGAGGCTGAGGCTGAGGCAGGCTGAGGCTGAGGCAGGCTGAGGCTGAGGCCGAGGCAGGCGAATCCTTTGGAATCCTTTGGATTCCCTAGGAATCCTTAGGAATCCCTAGGAATCCATAGGAATCAGGTTTCCTAAGGATCCCAATGGGTTCCTAAGGATGCCTAAGGATGCCTTAGGAATCCCTACGAATCCTTAGGATTCCATTGGATCCTAAGGCCGTTGCCACTGCCACTGTCATTGCGAATGCGACTGCGACTGCGAGATCAGCAGAACTCGACAACTGGATTCTCACCTAAATATTAAGGATAATGCTTCCAGATATGCTTATCCACATCGCTGTTAGGTTGCTTTGCCGGGATGATTATTGCTATTATTATTACTACTACTATTATTATTCGTATTATTATGATGATGATTATTATTATTAGTATTATTATTATTATCATCATCATCATGATTATTATTACTATTATTATTAGTATTATTATTACTACTACTACTATTATTATTAATAGTATTATTATTATTATTATTAGTAGTAATACTATTATTATTAGTATTATTATTATTAGTAGTAGTATTATTAGTATTAATATTATTATTATTGTTATTACTATTACTATTATTATTATTGTAGTGGCCTTCGGCCAGTGCCGCCGATCCGGGGCGCTCCGACTGATGTGATCCTCCTTCGCCCTCGTCCCTCCTCTCTTTTCCCTTCCTTCCCCCTTTCATTCCGCATTTATCCAGTGGCCTTCGGCCTATCCCACCACCGTGCGTGGGTGGTGGGTCAGAGGCCTCATGGACGCTGGTTGGGATATCGTGGTTAGCCGGGACCTCTGGGGGCCTCTTGGAGGCCTCTTGGGGCTTCTTGGGGGCCTCTTGGGCCTCTTGGGGCCACTTGGGGGCCTCTTGGGGGTCTCTTGGGAGTCTCTTGGGGCTTCTTGGGGGCCTCTTCTGGGCCCCTTGGGGCCTCTTGGAGGCTTCTTCGGAGCCTCTTGGTGCGGGAGGGGTGGCACTCGATTTCGGAACCCCCTCGGAGGCCACGATCCTTGTGAGGGGTGTCAAAAAACGCATCCGCCGAAAACTCGCCCCCCCCCCCCACCCCCCCTTCCCCGGCAGAGCCACCCCGGCAACCCCCCCGGAGGCTGAGGCTCAGCCTCGAGGCTGTAGCTGAGACTCCTTGTAACTCACACGCCGGATCGGCGGATTATTATTATTATTATTATTATTAGTATTATTACTACTACTATTATTATTATTATTATTATTATTATTATTATTGATATTATTATTATTATTATTTTTCTTCTTCTTATTCTTATTCTTATAATTATTATTCGTCCTTCTCCTCATCCTCCTCCTCCTCAGGCGCAGGAGGGAGGAGCACGGAGTGGGGAGGAGGAGGGAAGATGTGGAGGAGGATCAGACAGGATGAGATGGGAGATCTGCTGAGGAGAAGCATGGGGCGACCAAATTAGATGCGCAGAGATAGGGAGCACGACTAGACGCACGTACATACACAAGACACCACGGGAGGAGGACTGGCGAGGAGGAGACCAAAGGTACCGATACCGCTACTCCCCCCTGGACCTCTCCTGGGGTGCGTTGGCGGTGGCGACGAGGGCCTCCGAGGAGACCCAAAAAGGGGAAAACGGGCGGAGGGTAGGGGTATGGGCACCTTTTCCTCCCCTGAGGACTGGCGAGGAGGAGACAGGAGGGCGTCGCCGTCGCCGTCTCCGTCACCGCCGCGCGGTCGCCGCCACAGCTGCGGCCACCGCCGCCGCCGCCGGCCCGCAGAAAGCCGCGGGCGCTCCTCGGGCGCGGCCGCCGCGGCGCTGCCCTTGCTCCCGCCGCTGCCCCGTGGCTGCGCCTGCTCCGCCGCGCCGCGGCGGGCAGCGGCGGCGGCGACGGCCACGGCGTCGGCGGCGGCGGCGACGGCGGCGTTGGCGGCGACAGCGGCGGCAACGACGACGACGGCGACGGTGGCGGCGGCGGCCGCGGTCGCGCGACCGCGCCCGCGCCCGCGCCGCGCGAGGGCCTGTTCTCCTCCCCTGGCCTGCGGGCGACCAGAGCAGGGCGAGGTCCTAGGCTCGAGGGTCCGTGCGCCTGGCTGCCTCTCGCCCCTCTCGGGCCTCTGGGGAGGATCCCTCCTCGTCCTCTTCCTCTTCCTCCTCCTCCACTTCCCCCTCCTCCTCCTCCTCCTCCTCCTCCTCCTCCTCCTCCTCCTCCTCCTCCTCCTCCTCCTCCCGTCGCCACTGCTGGCCTCGTCTCACGATGCTGGCCACCACTCGCCCTCGAAAGTGCGGCGGCGGTGCCGCGCGCCCGCGCCCGCTGGGGCCGTCGGCGGAGCTCCCTGTGGAGCCACGAGGCGCGTGCGGGGTGTGCCGAAAGGGGGCGGTGGCGCTACAGTCGGCCTTGATTGGACAGGCCACGCGAGAGGACACAAGACCCTTCCGAGGGCCACATCGCCATAGGAGTGCAAGAAGGCACGTGTCGCGAGACACGGGACACAAGGGTACCCTCTTGAGATGGCAAGGTCGACCTACTAATCTGGGCCGCCTGTATGCACCCGAACCCACTGAGCCCTCGGTGCGTCCGCCTGTGGGGCCACGAAGCGTGTTGTGGGAAGGGTGTGCCGACATGAAGCGGCGGCGCCGTGCGCTCGCGACCGCTAGAGGGCTTTCGGTGGATCTCCCGACGGGGCCACGGAGCGTCAGCGTGTGAACGGTGCGGCGAACAGAAACGATCGGGCCGGGCGAAAGGGGGGGAGAGCGAAGGGGGGTTGAGAATCAGCTCACGTAGCTGACTTTCCCGGCGCCTCCCGGCGCCGGGATGCGCCTATGTATCGAGGAATGGGCCCAGCGGCGAGGCTCAAACCAGCTGCATGCAGCAGATTTCGTACCCCCCCCCCTTTCCCTATCCCCCCCTTTCGTTCGGCCCGAAACAAGGAAGGGACGGGGGGAGGTGGGAGGCGGAGGGCGGCGGTGCAGATTCAAAGCGAAGGCCCAACACCACAATGCGGCTGGGAAGACCGAGAGCGTGCCTTGGCAAGGGGACCAACCCAAGCCTTGGCAACTTCATGTAACGTTGGTGGTGAACCTCTCAATGCACGGCCCGTGTTTGGGATGTGCCGAAATGGGTGGGGGAACGTCTGCAAACTTTCCAAGTGGGGCCAAACGTGGAGCCCCCAAGTGCGCGCACCGTGTAGATGAGGGGTACACCGAAGTGCGCGGGGAAGCGCACGCAAACTTGCCCACTGGGGCCGCACATGGAGCTAGCGGGAGGACTGTGACGAAACGGGCGGAAGTACGCATGCACAGAGCCCCACTGAGGCCGCAGGCGGAACTCCCCATGGGGGAGCCATCCCTGTGAGAGATGTGCCGACATGGACGGCGCCGCCGTGCGGCCCCTTCCACTCGGGCCGTAGGTGAAGCTCCCTATGGGACCACGGTCCTCGTGAGAGGTGCGCCCGAATGGGCGGCGCCCGTCGGCCGTCGTCCGTCCGTCGTCCGTCGTCCGTCGTCCGTCCGTCGTCCGCCGTCCGTCGTCCGCCGTCGTTGGACGGCGCCCGCTTTTGAGTCATATCTCGGCGCTCCAGCGGCCGTTCGGGACGATTCGGGCACCGCTGGCGCGCTCCCGGCGAGGCGCAACGGTTGGAAGCTATTCCGAGGCTGGGAAGCCGCCGAGAACCGACGAAAATGTCCGCGAACCTCAAGCCGAGCCACTGGAAGGCACTCCGAGGCTCGGAAACCGCCGAGCACCGACGAAAATGTCCTCGAACCTCCAAGTGAAAATCTCGGCGAAGACGCGCCTCCGCCGCGTCCTCGCCACGGCCGCCGCCGCTGGGAGCGCGGCCGTCGTCGCCACGGGCGGCCGCGGTGGGCGAAGCCGCCACGAGCGGCTCCTGGGGGGGAAGGCTCAGATGCTCGAGGACCAGGTGTCGAGGAAGACGAATATGAAGACGATCCTCCTCCTCCTCCTCCTCCTCCTCCTCCTCCTGCTCCTCCTCACCCTCGTTTTCAGCTTCGTCGTCTTCAGGGTCGGCGGCACCGGCCGTAAGGCCTTCGCAATACATATGAAGACGACGACATCGGGGCCCGAGGGCCGAGGGCTCGCTGGCCCCCGGGAGGACGGCGACGCACCGAGGGTCCTCGAACCCTGAGCCTCGAGCCCTGGGCACCAGGCATCCGACCGTCGAGCCTCGAGCATCTGACCGTCGCCTCTCGACCGTCGAGCCTCTCGGCTCCCGCCGCCCCGCGGAAGGGGGAGGAGGAGGAGGAGGAGGAGGAGGAGGAGGAGGAGGAGGAGGAGGAGCAGGAGGAGGAGGAGGGGGAGGAGGAGCAGGAGGAGGAGGATGAGGAGGAGGAGGAGGAGGAGGAGGAAAGGCCTCGTAGTGGGCCCCCCCTCTCTCCCCAAGAGGGGGGTGTCCGGACCAGCGCCCCTCTGCCGCGCCTGCCGCCTCGCCGTGGAGGCCGCCGGGGGCGCCCCCAGGGGCCGCGGCGGCAGGCGCGGCCGGGGGGCGCTATCCGGGCGCCCCCCTCTTGGGGTGAGAGGGGGGGGGCCCACGACGAGGCCTTTCCTCCTCCTCCTCTCTCCTCCTCCTCCTGCTCCTCCTCCTCCTCCTCCTCCTCCTCCTCCTGCTCCTCCTCCCCTCCTCTTCCTCCTCCTCCTCCTCCTCCCTCTCCTCTTCCTCCGCCCTCCTCCTCCTCCTCCTGCTCCTCCTACTCCCTCTCCTCTTCCTCCGCCCTGCTCCTCCTGCTCCTCCTCCTCCTCCTCCTCCTCCTCCTCCTCCTCCCCCGTTCCTTGTCCATTTAAATAACTTCTCCCTGTCGCACGGAAGGGCATGTCTCTGCTCACGTGGCTGATTCGCTCGGCGCCTCCCGACGCCAGCGCATCGAAGGAGGGACGCGGCGGCGAGGCGCAGCCGGCTGCGTGCAGCAGATTTCGTACCCCCCGTCTCCCCATTCCCCCCATTTCGTTCGCCCCGACTCGATGACAACATCAAAACAAGACGTTCACCGAAACTGCAAAAACGGTTCACCGAGACGGCCTGGGCATTCCGGGGAATCCGAAGGACGCTCGGTACCCGCTCGAAGGCGGCTCCAGATCCAAGTAAAACCAGCGCTCTGACTTGGATCACTGAGCCAGCCCTTCGCTGGGAGACCCCTCGAACAAACCTCCGCAAGCGTGGAGCGGCAGCCGATCTCTCACATCACACATCCTCAACATATAAAAACGCGTGCGCATCTCATCTCGCACATCCACAATCCCCCATCAGTATCTCATCTCATATCTCATAGGAGACAGACATATAACCCGCATCATATACGTGGAGGAGGACGCGGAAGAGGGGGGAAGGAGGAGGATGGAAGAGGGGGGAACAGGGGAAAAGAGAGAGTGGGAGGCAGGTAATGTTATAAAGGAGGAGGAGGGGGAGCAGGGGGATGGAGGATGAGGAGGGGGAGGAACAACATTCATAATGTTGCACGACACACAGATCTCGTTCTCTCTCGACAGATACATGTGTAGAAGTACAACATGCTTATCTTCACCTTATCTAGAATAACCTCACGTCAACATTGTTATCTTTCACTGGTCATGAGTATCTACAGCCTGAACATTATAATCCAGAATCATACATTACTTTGACTCGGCAGGCAGGTTAATCGCAGCCTGCTTCCCCATAGCCACCAATAACTACTTATCGTGAGCTTGGAAATTCTTGCAGTTTGATAACGCAGCTGCTTGGAGAGGACCCGCCCCTTTCCACGGGGGCCGTTCTCGCATCGCCACAACGTTGATGGTCCCAGGAAGCGCAAATTACGAAGAACGCCGCGACTGAAAAGAACACGTCGTCGGATGTCTGGTGACGTCGGAGCTCAGGGCCCTGTGAACGGGGACTGTCTGATGCACCAGGACATTGGCACGCCCAAGACAACTGCAGCCATGAGCCGAAGCTCCCCCCATGCGCAACTGTGTCTTGCAACGCTCTGGTTTGGAACGGTCTCGTTTCCGAAGCCTTGGGTAGTTCTGGGCCGTCGGTATCCGAAAGCCTTCGGTGGCAACGCAAGGGGGCTTCCAGTGCTATCTTGTTGGCCCTTACGAGTCGACGCTGACCGACGCTAGCCGACGCTAGCCGACGCTAAATCGAGGCTCATCGGCGCTAAATCGGCGTTTTCTCAGCGACTGCCAGACGCGAGCGCACGCTAATGCACCCCAAAAATGGAATCTCGAGGACATACAGAACTCCTGTGGTCTGCTACCAAAGAAGCCTCTGCAGGCGTCCGCCATGCACAGGCACACGCACAGACTGGAACACCATCCCGAGACAATCGCGTCGCCAAAATGCAAGTGTCACGCCCGCTCCGCGCGGGCCGGGATCGGTGTCACCGAGGTCCAGGTGACGCTACAGCCAGGAGCCATCGTGCTACCAAAGGAGCGCAAGAGAAGGAACGAAGGTGCTTTTCTGGCCAGGTCAGGCCTAGGCCACAACAGGTTCCACAACATGAATTTGAGGAACGGCCCGAAAACCCGAGCCCCTCCTGGGCCCAAGGCGGTCCTTGCCTCAGCGTCTTGCCTGTAGGTGGGTGCTCTCTGCGCTGGGGGTGGGGGGTTGTACCGAAGATGCCTCTGGAGGCCTCGGGGGGCGCCCGCCACGGGTGCGACCTTGCACCCTGCGGGCTTCGAGCTGGGCGGGCGCCGCTGGCCGCCGGGCTGGTCCCCGCTGGCCGCCGGGCTGCTCGAGCCGGGCTTGGGGTGGACATCTCTCCTCGGACGTCCAGAGTCACAACGACTTCTGTCCTAGACCCAGCGCGTGCGCAGTGCAGAGGGCGTGCCGCTGGCACGGCCCTGTTGTGGGGCCTCTGGGGCACATGGCTGCGGAGGTCGAGGGCGCGGCCCAGTACACGCGCTGATGCACACGCGTGCACGCTTTGAGTCCAGGGCGCAAGCAATTGTCCAACCCTGGCGTTTGTCCTTCACTTCGGTCATTATTAGACGAGCGCGTTCCGCTACTCGCAAAGTAACTGCTCGCAGATGGCCTGGATCCCCCGCGGGGGTACATCAGAGCAGACATGTGCTTTTCGAACGTTTGCGAGTAGGCACTTTGCGAGCAATGGAACGCGATCGGCGAGTTATCAAGCCCCAGGCCTGACGAAATTGGTGCCGGGGCGAAACGCCAGCCCTGGGAGAGGGCGCGGGACCTCTGAGGCCGCGGATTGAGTAATGACATCGTCGAATGTCTGGGGTCTGGGAGAAGCCAGGGCCTGTGCTGGAGCAAGGGCAGGAGGAGGGAGGAGGCAGGACAAGGAGGAGTCATGTTGATGCTCCTCCTACTGCTCCTTCCCTGTATCTCGTCGTGCATCCCAACCCTCGCACTCACCCACTTTCTCCTCGTTTTCACATCGGTGGTCGTCGTAGATGTCGTTGTCATCATAATTGTCGTCGTCGTCTTCCTCCTCCTCCTCCTCATCATCATCATCGTCATCATCATCATCAACATCATCATCCTCACGATCGCAGCCAGACCCTCCTCACCATCATCAGCTCTTTGTCGGTGTCGTCCCTCTCACTCATCTCGTCCTCACCTTGGCCATTCCCTTGCCTAAGGTCGGCCTCGTCGTCCTGAGCTTCTCAATCTCTCCGCTGCCCTTGCGATCCGTCCTTGTTTGGATCCTCATCATAGCGCTGCGTGTCCTCGAGCAGCGTCTCGAAGGCCAACGACTGTTCCTTCGAAACTGTTCTACCCAACGTCTCGAGCATAAATTCCTCGGACTCGGAGTAACGCATGATTCCCTGGCTGCGGGAGGAGGTGGAGGAGAGGGCTGAGGAGGAGGAGACTACGCAACGCGGCGACTTGAGCGGTGGGAAAACTAGTCGTGAAGGTAATACTTTAGTAGTCGTCGTCGTCCTCGTCGTCGCCGTCGTCGCAGTCGTAGCAATTACAATAACCATGATCGTGGTGGTAGTCGTTGTAGTAGTAGAAGTAGTAGCAGCAGTAGTAGTGGTGGTAGTAGTAGTAGTAGTAGTAGCAGTAGTAGTAGTCGTAACCGTAGTAGTAGTAGTAGTAGTAGTAGCAGCAGTAGTGGTAGTAGTAGTAGTAGTAGTAGTAGTAGTAGTAGTAGTAGTAGTAGTAATTCTGGTAGAAGTAGTAGTCGTAGCAGCAGTAGTAGCAGTAGTCATAGTAGTAGCAGTGGTAGTAGCAGAAATAATAGTAGCAGTGGTAAGAGGAAGAAGTAGTAGTAGTAGTAGTAGTAGTAGCAGTAATAATAAATAGTACGTACGTAACAGTAGCAGTAGCAGTAGCAGTAGTAGTAGTAGTAGTAGTAATAGTAGTCGTAGTAGTAGTAGTAGTAGTAGTAGTAGTAGTAGTAGTACTAGTAGTAGTAGTAGTAGTGGTAGTAGTAGTAGTAGTAGTAGTAGTAGTAGTAGTAGTAGTAGTAGTAGTAGTAGTAGTAGTAGTAGTAGTAGTAGTAGTAGTAGTAGTAGTAGTAGTAGTAGTAGTAGTAGTAGTAGTGGTGGTGGTGGTGGTGGTGGTGGTGGTTGTGGTAGTGGTAATCATATTAAAAAGCCGAGCAATACTAGTAGAGAGGACGGGGTACACGTAGAAGTAGACGTGGAAGTAAACGTAGAAGTAAAAGTAAAAGCAGGCAAGAATAATAACGAAATTAGTTGCAATAAAAATAAAAGTCGTACTGGTCGTAGAAGAAGTGATAGTAGTCGTCGTCGACCTACTGGTGGTATTAGTTATCGTCACGGTAGTAGTAGTCGTCGTCGTCGTAGAAGAAGTCGTTGTCATAAGCAGTAGTAGTAGTCGTAATCGTAGTGGTAGTAGTGGTAGTAGTGGTAGTAGTGGTAGTAGTAGTAGTAGTAGTAGTAGTAGTACTGGCAGTAATAGTAGTAAGAGTAGTCGTAGTCG